GGGGGGAGGCTGCCAAAATAACCACTTAGCCCAGGATAATCAATACCGGTTTTCCCCCCAAGATTTTTTAAAGATTCACATCATCAGCAGTGTGAATAATTGGTGCAAATAGACAAGAAATAATTTGGGAATAAACTCTGTATGCCTTGAATGCATTTTGAATAGATTTGCATTGTCAGCTCCATGTTTATTCTAGTGCTTGCACGTGTGAGCAACAAAACTGCCAGAGATACTCATAGAAGCAGTTCCACAGTGTGAATAACAAACCTAAAATAACATTGTTCCGCTAAAACAAAATGATGTCTGAATGATCCCTAGGTATGAACAGAAAAAGAGTCAGAAATGCAGAAAGAGGAAATGGGACAGAATATCCATCAGAAAGCCAGTGTGACATGGTGGTTTGAGTATTGGACTACAACTCTGAAGACCAGGGTTCGATACCCAGCTCAGCCATGAAACCCACTGAGTGACCTTGGGCAAGTCACATGCTCTCAGCCACAGGAGAAAGCAATGGCAATCCTCTTCTGAACAAATCTTTCCAAGAAAATCCTGTGAGAGGGTTGCCAAAAGTCAGAAATAACTTAAAGGCACACAACAACAAACAACAACATACATCATTAAAATGATGGGACAAAGTTGGTGGACAGAAGATGCACCCATAATCCCATTTCCCCAAACACCTGCTTGATCCAAAGATATGTTTTGTTTTGTATTTGTTTTTTGTTTTGTGTGTGTGTGTTTTGTTTTGTTTTTGTTTTGGTGGGAAATGAAGCAAGGGAGCAATCATTCATATATGGGCAAAAATAGGTGACAAATGATCAAAACCTGACCTGTTACAACTCAAACCATTTAGCATAGCAAAGGACAGGATCCCAGCTACTGTGAAGCCCCAGCATTAGTTCCACCATCACAGTCCATGTGAAAGGCTGATGTTGATGGGAGAGGCTGGACTCTTGGTCTCACCATGGCATAGAATTTTGCAATTTGGATTTGTAGTGGCAAGGAACAGGTTATGGTCATAATCTTATAATGGCTTTACACTGAGGTAAGTACAGTTATGCAAGCAGATGAACCTTTGTGAAGGTTGTACAAGAGCGGTACACTATCTAGGGCTGCACCAGACCTGTGACATCAATATGCAATTCTGGGAGGGTTGAATAAGTATAGTCCTTAATGATGGATAGGTTGTTGGAGTGACTTTTGTCAGCTAGGAAAGTGCACAACCATGCCATTATCAGTGGATCTTGGCTTATTTCAGTCCTGCTCATCTAAGCAAGAAATCTGACTAGGGAACTATTGCATATCTTGGCTGGGATCCCAAACAGATTTGGCTTCAGTCCTAAGAACACTTAATTTTAAAAGTGTGTTATACTGAAACTGGTGCATTATAAGTGTAATATAGACTTCTAAATATTTGTGTTTAGAAGATTATTAAAGTTTGTCTAATGATCCTTCGGATTTTTTTAAAAATGCTAACAACATGTCCATACTTAAATGTTTTAAGAACTTATAAAATCATAATGCAAAATAAACCAAAGCTATTTAATATCTTCCAAAAAAAAATCTGAAGAAGCCCTTCTTCAATTTCATCCTGTATTCTTCTTCCTGCATACTTTTAAAACATCCCCTAAGGCATGATCCTTGTCATAGGCAAGCTGAAATGGACAAAATTGTAGTTTCTTTGTTCTAATCATGTAACTATTTTTCACCCTACAAAAACTGGCAAATAAATGTCAATTCAAAAAGGAGTTGCAGTATATATTCTTGTCCCATTAGAGCTCAGAGGTTTTAGATTTATTTTGCTTTTACCACTTGTGATCATAGCAGCTTTTGGGTTATTCTTAGGGCTAAAAAATAGCTCCCAGATGCCTACGGTACATTTCTTTGTTCTATATTAGCACTGAGCAACATTTAGTCAAACAAATCATACCTTCTTGAAAAGAATCACATTTATTCAGAGAGACAACCATAGCAATGTAAATTTTAACAAACTATTGAATCACAAAAGTATTTTGAAGCACAATGGATGTTTTGACTCGTTTGCTGTTTTTTCCAAACATTAAACACACATTTATTTTCTGGACCCACAAGCTGCTAAGTAGATGTAGAGACATATGGCCATTATTTTGTGATTTAAAAAAAAAGCAACCTAAAGAATACCGATTGACCATATGCATATATAGAGCTCACTAGTACTGTCAACAGAGCAATTAAAGAAAATACACATTCAAGAAATGCTGCTGCAGCTGGACATTATGAGTCATTTGTACTGTTGGAAAAAGCCCCGTTGATAATTTGCCAAGGACATTCTGAGTTTTGTTGCATGCTCATCATAGAAAACTGCAATTGCACAACTGGTGAGATACCAAGCCAAAAACAACCCATTAACCTTACATGATGGTCTCCCAATTGATTTGCAGCTATGGTAAGGCTGATCTGTCAAGTCCATTTCTGTAGACTCCCTCCTTTTCACATCTTTATATATGTTCAGTGGCATCTGGTAGTTTCCAAATCAGTGAAGCAGTAGATCCAAACTTTACTCCAAAGTACAGTCAACTAGACTTTACTCCAAAGTCTAGTTGAGGAATATATTTCCCCTTAGAGGCTCAATTTGCACCAACACAGCTTTCTTAAAATCTGTGGGGCCTGATTGATTTCATCCACATCTGTGCATGTATTATGGGTTTTGAAAAAACACTTCAACTACTGTAGTTTTATTAATTCAGAAGAGGTGAGCCAGGTTATTACAGTGGTGGGATAATCTCTGATAATGCTCCCTTTTGAGCATGACTAAAAAGCATGAATTTAGATTTATATAAGTGTTTTTAGCTTCTATTTTGTCATGCCCCACATTTTTCAAGGGGTTTTTTGGCATGATTTCTTCAGAGGAGGTTTGCCATTGCTGTCCTCTGAGGCTGAGAGAGTGTGACTTGCCCAAGGTCTCCCAGTGGATTTCATGTGAGCTGGGATTCAAGCCCTAGTCTCCAGAATTGCACGCTCAAGCCACTGGCTCTCTTTGTTCTTATTATTGTGCTGTGCCTTCCGTGCTTTATTATGCTTGTTGCTGTTGCTGTTGTGTGCCTCCAAGTGGTTTCTAACTGATGACAACTTTAGAGTGAACCTATCATGGGCTTTTCCTAGCAAGATTTCTTCAGAGATGGTTTGCCATTGCCTTCCTCTGACGCTGAGAGAGTGTGACTTGCCCATGGTCTCCCAGTGGGTTTCATGGTAACCTTAAGGTGACCCTATCCTAGGATGGTTTCTTTGGCAAGGTTTCTTCAGAGGAGCTTTTGCCATTGCCTTTCCCCTTGAGGCTGAGAGAGTGTGACCTCCCCAGGGCAACTCAGGGTTGTGGTTGTTGTGTGCCTTCAACAAGCCCTTTCTGACTTAGGATGACCCTCTCCTGGGATTTCCTTGGCAAGGTTTGTTCAGAGGAGCTTTTTCTATTGCACACAGAGTATGACTTGCCCAAGTGGATTTCATGACCTGAGGCTGTGAGAGTGTGCCAGGGGAGGTGTGGTGCCTTCAAGTTGTTCCTGGCCACCCTAAGGCAAAACTATCCTGGGTTTTTCTTGGCAAGATTTGCCCAGAGGTTATCTGCAGTGCTCCACTTTTTTGGGAAGATCCAAACCAAAAGGTGAATCTTTAAAATGTGCATTAAAGCAAGGATGGCCCAGGTATGGTGCAAGAATGCCCTTCCCATGTGTAGGCAGTCAGTAGTTGAATTGGGCCTTTGGCCCTGCATTGTCTGGACAAAGAGACATTAAGGTGAGGGGAAACTGAGTCATTTGGGCTGTGTAGATGTGTCCTTAGTCTCTTGCACTATGATGAATAATTTGTCCAGTATGTGTAGCATGATTTAAAATAATAAAAATAATGCTACTTACAGTCTTAATTAAATTAAGTGTTAAAAATGAATGAAATGGCCAATGCTATTGCTTTGTGGATATGTAATCACAGCATATGCAATAATGAGCCTCCTATGGTGCTTACTAGTGTATTCACTGGAGTCACTAACAAAAGAATAGTGTTTAAAATTCTATAACCACCCAGATTTCTGAAATATTGAAGATTCATACAATTGTGGGTAAGCAGTTAAGTTATGGCCATTGAATCATTCTGTGGATTCACAGTGATCTATAAAGCATTGAGAATGGACAAGAATGTACTAACTTAAAATACCACTTTGAGCAATAAGATACTATAGAACATGGATTAAAATATATTACTTTGTGCCTGAAAAATTGCTAAGAGTAAATGCCTCTGGTTCATTGAAGTATGAAATAATGCATCATAATTTACACATAGAAGTATCTCGCCACAATTATATATTTTGCTGTAAAATTAGATTTTTAAAATATTTGTACTTATGAAGTAATAAGTCTCATAAATTCCAACCAGCTGCTTTTATTACCCACTTTGGCTATGCAGTTCTTTATGTCTGTTTGCAAATGATAATTAAGAGTGCTACAAAAACAGCAAGGGTGAAAATAGAATGTTTAAGAAAAGGCTCAGAATATTGCTAACCTGAAAATTTCAGTACATGTTGGAAATGCATGCCCTCAAGCTTTCCTGGTTTGGCAGGGATGGTTCCAATTAATCCTGTATTGTCCAATTAGTTCAGATGCTTGTAAATTATCCTTTCTCTCTCTCTCTCTTCCTTCCATTTTCCTCCTTTGAACTCAGCTTATTTCAGTTGCTGCAAACTGAAGAGTCAGTGCTATAGCTCAGGCAAAAGCAAACTGTTACAGCCTCTCCTAGAGTGAGTTTACACAGGCAAAATAAAATGGTCTCATCTGGTTTTCACAGCAAGCTGTCAAAAATATGATTGGAGCAGAATCCAGACTTTTTCATCATCTCAGGACATTAATCCAGAGGAAAAAAGAGGGGATTTATCCTGGTTTTAAGTAGAAAATTCAGATGTTTGTGTGTGTGTAATGTGTGTAACCACCTTCCATAGCAATGCCACTGGACGTTTTCACACGGGGCTTTAGACGGAGGCAATCCTACCTCCGTCCGGCCCCACTCTGGCTCCTTTGCAAAATCGTTCACACGACGTCGCAGCAAGCCCCGCTCCATCCTGCGCCATCCCTGGCGCTATCCAGCGTCCGTCCGGGGTCTTGCTCATTGTGTTCACACGACGTTGCAGCAAGCCCCGCCCTATCCTGCGCCATCCCTGCAGCTAGCCGGCTTTAGCCCCATAGATCTAATTCCTTTTTTAAAAAGGAATTAGAGGGGCTGCTGCCGGAGGCAATCAGGAGCCATTCCGGCGGCTGCTGTTTTCACCGCCGGAATGGCTCTTTGCTTCCAGGCAGTTTCCAGCCGGCTTTAGAGCCGTGTGTATGAAAACGTCCACTGTGTGGTTTCGGAAATACATACATTTATATGCATAGGGGGCAGAGAAAAAGGATCCTGGAGTGGCCACAACTGTGCGGCTGCACATACTCCAACTT